ACCACCACCCACCCACCCACCACCACCACCCGCCACCCACCTGCCACCATCACCCACTCGCTACCACTTACCACCCACCACCGTCACCCACCCACCCACCTACCACCACCACCCGCCATCTACCTGCCACCACCACCCGCCATCCGCCACCCACTTGTCACCACCTACTTGCCACCACCCGCCATCCGCCACCCATCGGCCACCCCCCCCCCCCCCCCGCCCCCGCCGCCACCACCCCCACCCACTCGTTACCACCCGCCACCATCACCCAACCCGCCACCACCACCCACCACTACCCACTACCCGCCACCACTACCACCACCACCGCTACCACCCCGCCACCTACACGCCACCACCACCCACCCACCACCACCACCGCCACCACCTGCCACCGTCACCCACCCACCCACCGGCCGCCACCCACCACCAGCAGCTACCCACCACCCACTGTCACCACTTTCCACCACCGTCTTCCACCGCCACTTGCCACCACTTGCCATTTCTCATTCTTTTTTATATTTTTAAAATTTTTTAAACATTTTGTCAATTACCAAACACGTTTATAGTTTATGTTTTTCTAAAAATAAGCAAAAATTAGTTTATAAAATTTTTGTAAATATAAACTGAAAACGTAAACGTTACCAAACAAACAATAAATAAAACGGCTCACAAGCCCAAACAAATGTTTGTATGGGTCTAAAAAAACACAAGCCCAATAAAAATTCCCAAGCCCAACTCTTATGTTTGTAGCTAACAAGCCCATACAAATGTTTGTATGAGTCTTAAAAAAATCTCAAGCCCAACTCTTATGTTTATAATTCCCAACCCAGCAGCAGCAGCTGCTTCTTCGCAGCCTGGTCTGCTTCTTCTTCGCAGTATAACCCTAGCAGCAGCAGTTGCTTCTTCGCAGCCTAGTCTCTCTCTCTCTCTCTCTCTCTCTCTCCCCCTCCTTCCTTCTGTGTCGCCATCGCTCCCATCTAGTTAGATCCGTGATTCTATCTCGACGGAGATGCGATTCTATGACGAATCTTGCTACGAATCGTTGAATCGCGATTCTAGACGAGAATCGTCTCCCATTCCGACGATTCCTGCTACTAAGGTCTTGACTTTATGTGTAATTTTTATTCTTTGATCAAATGAATGATTGTTATTGTTCCTCATGTTTTGATTCCACATCTACTTACCCTTATCATTTTAAATTACAACAATTATTTATTTATTATTTTAATAACTTTAGATTATTTAAAATTGCAGTCTTTTATTTGTTCGCATTAATTGCAATCTTAGCAAGATAATAATGGTGGTCTAACATATTAATCAATCATATTGGTTATTTAATATTTTTATTAACTAATTAAATAGAATTTAGACAAAACAATAAAATAAAAAAAAAGGGCAGATGAAAAACTTCTCAAAAAGTTATATGAGAGTTAATGTAGGAATTTGAATAGAAATTTCTCAATTACAGATGAAAATTTTCATAAAATTGAATTTAAAGTAAAACTTGCCTAGTCGTATAGTTGGGAAAATAACATTGAGAATTTGTGTGACAGTAAGGTATGTGTAATTTTAAAATAATAAATTTAGAATGAATTTTTTTGATTTTCGAAGACCTTATATGTTATAACTCAACTTACAATTAAAACACAGCAGGTGACATTACTTACTAAAAGCAAGGTCAAGGAGGCTGCCATTACTTGCAAACTCAAATACAAGCAGCTTCTCTTTACCCTCTGAACAAAATCCCAGAAGCTTAACAATATTTCGGTGGTGTGAAGACTCCAGCAGCAGTTCCATCTCCTTCGCGACAAGTTCCTCCGAGTTCTGCAATGGTTTCTTCACTGCGATCTCTGTCCCATCAGTCAACTTTCCCTACAAAACATTTTCAGCCAATGATGGACCCAAGATTCAAATTTCAGGGAACGACAAAAACATTTATAACTTCATATTTTGAAATTATTTTACTGGATAAATTACACTAACACCCCCTAAGGTTTGATTTTAATACAACTCCACATTTCAAGAATTACACTAATCCCCTTGTCAGAAATTATCTGTGAAACGGAAGTTACGGAATAAAAAATTAAAAAAAATAAAAATAAAATTATAAAGACTTTAATTTACTGTATTACCCTCTCAACCTATCCAATCATTGCAACCCCAAACACTTTCTCATCATCTCCAAACTCTCCACTCCACCATACACGATATCCACCCCCAACCCTCTGAACTCCCTATACCCTCTCCCAGTTCCACAGTCAACAATCCCTCCCTCTTTTCCATTAATTCCGGCCACCACAACCATTACTCAACAATTGGGAACATACACTGCCTCCCTCACATTCCTCCACCAAGTCCTTCATCCCAATGCCACTCCATGTTCACCGACGGTAACAATGGGGTTCATTTTTTCAGCCACCACAGCGCCACCACTCCCTCTACTATCACAACTCTTTATCTCTTTCTCACTCGCACTCACACACTCTCTCTCTACTCTTGTTTGTTGTTGGTTTGGTTTGTGTGGATTTGATTTTTAGCTGGATTGTCGAACAAAGTGGAGGGGTTAGTGGTGGTGGACATGGGTTTTGTTTTTTATGTGGGTGTGGGGCTGTAATGGTGGGTGGCTGCAATTTTTTTGGTCGGTTGTGAGTGGTTTCCATGAGGTAGCTTGAAGATTGTAGCAAATTATGCATGTAACATGCTTGGTTTATTGCTTCAAAGAATTAATTTGTCCTGATCACAGATGGGTCTGTGTTTGTCTTCAAAATTGGATCTAAGTTTGTCTTCCTCTTTTTTTTAATAATGGATGAGCATTGAATTCTAGGTTTGTGATTTGGGTTTGCCATGGTTGTGCAGTCCCTGAATGAGAATTATTGTAGATGCTTTAGATGAGTTGAAGCTGGGAGCTTGATAATCTTATATAAATATACATATATACTTCATATAATCTTTGAGGTGTTGGGAGCTTCATATAATCGATGGGGTAGTAATGGTAAAAGGTAGGAACTGTAGTTATAGTGAAGGAAGGAAGGAAGATGGAAGGAGAATGGAAGGAGAGCATGGTAGTTGCCTGGTGTCTTCCTCGGCCTCCGCTCCAAATTTTTAGATCTAGATCTCTCTCTCTCTCTCTCTCTCTCTCTCTCTCTCTCTGTCCCCGATCTATGGATTTTGATTTTGGATGTTGTGGTGGTGGAGCAGAAAATACCGAAGAAGAAGAAGAAACAGAGGGGTGGTGGAGCAGATCTGTCTAACACAGAGGAAAAAAAAAAAAAAGGTGCCAAAACGTTGATGCTTTGTTGATTTACATTGTTCATTTTTCTTTCATCAATAAAGTTTATCAAAAAAATATTTTCTTTCTTCAGTCTAATTCAAACACTCAGCTTGTGTTTGGATGATTTACCTTGAACACACAACCAAAACCGCCTTCGCCAAGCTTGTTTTTGTCATGAAAATCTTCTGTTGCAGAAGAAAGGGTCTTCAAACTAAATTCCTTCAGTCCTTTTTCTGCCGCAATCTTCTTTATATCTTCAATTACAACACAGCCACCAAACACAAGATTTGAGCACAAGATAATGAAAATAACAAAAAACACATGTTTGGTGACTCAGATATAAAGCTGATTAAAAAAAAAATTCATTTACCTGGCTTAGATTTTCTGGGTTTGCAGCAGTTTTGAAACTTGAACATGGTTTAAGACAACAATGAATACTGGTTAAATGGAAAAGTTTAGATGGATAGAAACAGAGGCGATGTTTTGGGAAGAGGCTAAAAGGAAAAAAATATCCAAAAAGTTGTACCCAAGCTGAGTTGGTATTAGAGAAAGATGATGACAAATTTTTTATAAAAAATTTTATGATAAATTTGTGATATTTAAATTATCTTGATTAGTGTGTGATATTTTATTTTAAGTGTAATTTAAAGGTTATAAATCTTTTATGATTATTTTTATAAAAAACTTTTAATGATATCTAACATTGCTATTTGTTTTATTTTGGTTTTTTTTTTAATCAGTTTAAAAAAAAATTTTAATCAGAAGCTGATTGGACCGATTTGATAAAAGTGTATGACTGTGAGTGTATATTTGAAATTATAATTTTGCCTTTTATTTTTTCACTAACCCACCAATTTAACATTCCAATCCACGGGGACACTTTAGTCATTTCATATCCCAACACAATCATAATCATAATCATAATCATAATCCAAGTTCGGCACTAACCCACCAACTTGGCATTCCAATCCACGGGGACACTTTAGTCATTTCATATCCCAACATAATCATAATCCAAGTTCGGTACACCCTAATCACGTCATGCATGATTTTTGAGGAATAATTTAATTATTTTTTTATCTAAATATCATTTTAAATACATTTTTCAATACAATAACTTAAATAAAAATTTAACCCAACTTTCCAGACACAAAAATTAAAGTAGTCTATTAAAATAGCTAAAAAGTCGAAAAACCTCTAAAATAATCACTTCTCAAACACTCCCAAAATGTCACCTCTAAATTATAATTATTTTATTTTTTCTCTAACAAAAGTCAAAAAAATTAAACAATCTATTCCAAACAAAACTTTTTAATCTCATGCTAAAATAATTAAAAAAATAAAAAATCATCTTACATGTCAGACGAACCCTACAATCTTGATAATTAGATTCGGTCTTGTAAGAATCGTACTATACATCATCGTATTTGGTTTAATTTTAATAATTAAGTAGCACCATTTTAATTTTATATGATGTGAGACTACCAGTTCCAAAAAAGCGCTTTGCTTTGCGTTGTTCCATTTGGTTTCTGTATCATACAATTTCATATAATATATATTATACAATTAATTAATCTTGATCTTATCCTATATTTATATTTTATATAAAAAGACAATATGTTAGCTATATACCCTTAAAAGGTGTACATATACAAATTATGACCACTCGGCCATCTTTCCTACAAAATTTTTCATGATTACGACCCAAAATCGAGAGAATAGCACGTTATTCATGTTATTATTGAATAGATACGACCAATTAATTTGAACTATAAACAAAGTTTTCATCTGAAAAAGATAACTTCTTCAGGGATAAAAATAATAATTTTTCTTGTAAAAAACTGAACTGTTAAAAAGAATTTATTCATATTTGCGAAGACAATGTTTGTCTTAATTATATTTTTTCAATCACCACTAATAAATAAATAAATAAATCATAATCAAATATTATTGTTTACCCCATAAATATATGCCCTAGACCGTGTTTTTACTAAAAACTATGTGAAGTGACATGGATAGGCCCATAAGGTTTACAGCCCACAGCAAACAACCCTACGCCCATCGCTTGAGACCCATAACATAACCCGGTTGGCAAAGCCCAGGACAGTTGGAGGCCATCTGGGCATGGAGGACCAATGACATTCGGGTACATGGCAGGTGAAACACAGGCCACATCAGCAGACAAAGATCTGCAGAGTTATTGCCACAACACATCACCATTAATGCAGCCCATCACAGCATTTATTACGACAACACCTCCCCGTCGGAACAGAGCCCCCTCACCCTGAACAAGGTAAGCTACGGCACAGGCTTTCGGCGGAAGGGGGCACGTCGCAAGGGACAGTGAAATGTTACCAAAGGATATAAGCAAGAATCGAAGACAAGAGAAAGGTTAAGCTTTTCTATCTCTCTCTCTCTATATATATATATATATATATTTCCTTCTTTTTCTACTGATTTGCTCGCTGGAGGGTTCATTGGGGGACTACCCCGTTCCCCTTTTGGACTTGCTTGCAGGTCATTTGGTGCAATCATCCGCCTGAATCGGAACTGGGAGAGCTTGGACCAGCCCGACCCATCCATCCAGGACGAACTGCTTCATCAGTTGGCGCCGTCTGTGGGAAGTTGTGGTTTATCCGTGCGCTAGTTGTGTTCACTATCGTCGGAGCCCCCATTCTCCCCATCACCTTTTCCTCTCACCCGTCCAGGTGTATGGTCACGACTAGGTCCATGACTTCTCACCATAATACCGTCGATCATCAAACAGACCCTCCCTATCCAAACAACCAACCACAGTACATCATCGAACTTACCAACAGCATTAACCGCATGACCGAGCAAAACCAGGCCCTGATCAATGCTTTACTCCAAAGAAACCTCCCCGCTCCACCTCTAGATATTCCGTCCAACCAAGAAAGAACCCCGATCCACACTGTTCCACCACCTCCCCGCTCAATTCTGACGGTTTACAACCTCCTGCTCCTCCACATATGAGCCTACCACCTCCACCCCCACGCCCGTCAGTCGTGGCACTGGCCCTTGAGGGGGAAGCCAGCAACGTCCAGCCTCCATTGACCGACCATGGCGACAATATTCCCCTCTGGGACGCCGAACTCCGAGCTATGAAGCTCCAACTACAAGGGGTCATACAGAACATCCAGCACAAGCCCTCAATCACCGCCAATTCGCCTTTTATTGCCTCCATACGGGACAAACCATTGCCCGCCAAGTTCAAAATGCCCACCATTGACTCTTTCGATGGCACGACGGATCCAGTCAACCATCTGGAAACCTACCGCACCCTCATGATCCTCCATGCTTTCCCTGACGAGATCATGTGCCGAGCTTTCCCCGTGACACTGAAGGGATCAGCTCGGTTGTGGTTTAACCAGTTACCGGTGGACTCCGTCTCCACCTTTCAACACCTCAGTGACTCTTTCCTGAGCCATTTTATCGGAGCCCAGCGTCAGAGACGCCCTGCCACCCAACTCCTTAACATTCGTCAGACCGAGGGGGAGTTGCTCCGCAACTTCGTCACCCGCTTCAACACCGAAGCCCTTTAAGCGGCGGAGAATGACGACAAGGTCATCCTCACGGCTTTCATGGCCGGTCTACGGTCGTCCGATTTTCTTTTCTCTCTCTCCAAAAACCCTCCAACCACCATGGCAGCCCTACTATCCAAAGCCCAGAAGTACATGAATGTTGAAGATTCCCTGGCCGCTCGGCAGGAGCCAATCACTAAAAATCTGACCCCCAGAGACAAGAGGAAAGACTCGGAACCCAGGGCCACCTAGCATAATAGCCAAACACCCCACTATAATGATCGACCCCATCGAGCCGACCAGTCGGCTCCGACCTGACCGCCCGGCCGGTTCGAGCGGTACACACCACTCAACTCACCCATGGAGCACGTCCTCAATCAGATCCAGTAGGACTACCCCCTCAAGTGGCCCCTGCCTTCACGAAACCTTTCCAATCGGAAAGATCAGTCCAAATACTGTCGTTTCCACCAAGACCATGGCCATACCACCGACGAGTGTATTAACCTCAAAGATCAGATCGAGACCTTCATACGTCAGGGCCGCCTCAGCTGATTCACAGACACCCGCCCTCAGCAGAGGCAAAGAACCGACCTTCCCAGGGACAACCGCTGGCATACACCACCCCGGAACCTAGCCCCACCTAACCCAGGCCATGATCGCCCGCCGCCACAGCCTCGACCTCCAGGCAATCCCCCTCCACCAGTCGGAGAAATCAGAGTCATTTCAGGCGGCCTTGCATGCGGGGGACCATCCCGCTCGACTCAGAAGGCAGAGCTCAGGAAAATAAGGCAGGGCTCAGACAAAGCAGTGGCGATGGTGGACCGACCTTCCAAGCAGTCAAGACAGTAGATCGAACCCATCACCTTCACGGACACCGACTGTACAGAAGTCCGTTACCCACATGATGACCCCCTTGTCATTTCCGCCATCCTCTCCAACTACAAGGTCAGACGAGTTCTCATAGACAACGGCAGCTCTTCAGACATCATCTTCCTCAATTACTTCCGCCAGCTCAAGATTGGGGAAGAAAGCTTGTCTCCTCTCCAAACCCCTCTGGTCGATTTCACCGGCGACCGTGTGACCTCCATCGGCTCCATTGATCTACCTATAACTATTGGCGAACACCCGAGGCAGACCACTAAGTTGCTCACCTTTCTTGTGGTCGACTGCCTCTCTGCCTACAACATCATCCTTGGCCGCACAGCCCTAAACGCCTTCCAAGCTATCACATCCACTTATCACCTTGCCATCAAATTTCCTACCGATCTCGGCGTCGGAACTGTCAAAGGAGGACAGACCGTGGCCAGGGAGTGTTATATGGCCTCCCTCAAAGAAGTCAAACTGAAAGAGGCCATGATCATCAAAGGGCTTGACGTCCGAGACGAGGACGAGCTGGTCAGAGGAGAATCTATGGAAGAACTTGTTGAAGTCAACATTGATCCCACCAACCCAATCAAAACTGCCAAAATCGGCAGCCAACTACCTTCCCAAGCCAAGGCCGACCTTACCGCTCTCCTAACCGAGCACAGAGATGTATTCGCCTAGACCCATTCAAACATGCCAGGCATTGACCCCTCCTTCATAACCCATCGCCTCAGCATCGAACCCCACTTTCGACCCCACCGCCAGAAGTAACGCATTTTCCATCCGGAGCGCAACACTCTTATAGCCGCAGAAGTTGACAAGCTCCTCGAGGCCCAATTCATCAAAAATGTGGACTACCCCAGATGGTTGTCCAACGTGGTCCTCGTCCGCAAACATAATGGCAAATGGCGACTCTGTGTCGATTATTCTGACCTGAACCGCGTTTGCCCCAAAGACAGCTACCCCCTTCATCGCATAGATCTGCTGGTCGACGCCACGGCCGGTCATCAAATGCTCAGCTTTATGGATGCCTTCTCTGGGTACAACTAAATCTTGATGCACACATCTGATCGGGAACACACATCATTCATTACCGACCGAGGTACCTACCACTATTGTG